GAAGGAGGGTTGTTCTTTGGCCTGATCCCCCGTGCTGCTGTCGGGAAGCCCGCGCATGTGCAGGGGCCTCTGCGCCGCACGGCTGGTGAAGTCCTCCTGTTCCTCATCCTGTTTCGTCTCCACGTCCACTTCCTGCTCCTCGTCGCTTTCACCGCTGTCGCTCTGGTAGCTGCAGCTGGTGCCAGGAGAAAGGTGCCTCTCCGGCCCAAAGTCCTCCAGGCTGCCATGGAGCTTGGCAATGCTTTCTGTGTCTTTGACCACTGGCCGGAATGCGGAGTGGTAACTGGCCTTCCGGGCTTGCAGCGAAGGAGCGTCTAGCAGCTTTAGCCAGCCCTCCGAGGCGGGTCGGAGGTCGGAGGTCACGGGCGGACAGTCACGCTCAAACAGCCCGGATCTGGGGTTCGTTTCCAAGCTGGCATTGCCCTGTTCAGACAGATCCAAAAAGGCTTGTCTGAGGGACGGGCTCTCTGTGAGGGAGGAAAGAGCATTGGGTTGGGGTTGGAGGTAAGTGGGCACCGGAATACCACCAGTTGCCCTCGGAGGCCAGAACATGCAGAAGGGCGGGTAAAAAGCATCCTTGCGACCGGGCCAAAGGAGCCCTGAGAGGCCGCTGTTTTTCTGTCCGTTTGTTGCCTCGCTGTCATCCTTCTTCTGCGGGCACAAGCCGAATGCTGGGAAGGTGTAGGGGCTGGGGAATAGTGACGTTGTTGGGAACTTCTGCAACATCCCGAAACCTTTGCTCGGGACCGGAATGACCGGGTAACTGCGGGGGGCCTTTCGGGGCGAGAGGCTGTTGGTGTCCAACTCATCATCGTCCTCGTACCGGCCTCTCTTCTGAGCCAGTTCCGGAGAAATCATGTGGGGCAGAACTGAGTTCATGGCCTTGACAGAGCCCATGGGCGAGCAGTTAGAGGACGGAAGCGCCCTCTTGCGACTTCCTCCATTGAACATGGCTTTTACGTCCTCCCAGGCAAACAACAGGTCCTCCGGTGATGTTTTGTCTGTCAGTTTAAGGTGCCGACGCCAGGAGTTGAAGTTGGCAGCGTCCGGCTGCGTGTACTTGGCCTCGGGTGTGCGGTGCGAGTGGAAGATGAATTTGTTTGGGGAGAAGTACATATTACAGTAGGAGCACTTGATGCATTTGGCCCGGGAGCTGTTGTAGCGCGCCGGGATGAAACTTCCCCGGGAGCCCCAAGCGCATTCATGCGTCACGTCGAACGCAAAGTTGTCTGGCAGCTTGGGTGGGGAATTCTCACCCAGGAAAGACTTGCAAAGTCGCTCTGCTTCCCGTTTGGTGATCATGCCGCAGCGGCGGGAGGAAATGGGCATGGCGCCCGCCCGCCGGAGGATCTCCAGCTGGACCGGGGTGCACTGCACGCAGGTGATGCCCAGAGCCACTCGACGATTGTGGATCTCATTGTAGCTGAAGTTCTTTAACAGGGTATTGGATATCTGAGCCAGGCATAACCGCTCTTGATTGTCAATCACCAGCGAGACAATAGGCACCCCATAGAGGATGACATGCCCAACTTGGTTGGGCTTAAGAGAGGATCTTGGAGGCGTGAGCGGCTCCTGCTGAAATGAACTCGGTGGGGTGGCCATCACAATGTCTTTTGGTCCAGGCAGAAGACTCTTTTCCATTCTTGAGAGACCACCGAATGCAGATGTTTGTCTGTAAACACATTTAAAAGGTTAATTTAGCAATAAAAACAATGTAAAGGAATCAGAGAAGGGATTTAGTTGCATTGTTTTATTTATGAACAGTATAAAGAATATTACTCTGATGATAGTTATTACCAGATGTGGCATAGTTATTAAATAGAAAACAGAATTTTATTTGACACTACTAAAAAATTGAGAATTTAACAACTAGCACAATTACTGTAAAGCTTTTTTCACATGTCAGAAGCACATTGTTTGTAGATCAGAATAATGATGCGGGTGAAATAAAAACTAATTTAAAGAACCAGACAAAATGAGGATGATGAATTAAAACCCATTTAAAGAACGAGAGAAAATACAGATGCAATTCAATATGATCGCAACTTGAAGAAAAGGAATATATATAGGCCTATATATTTTTTTAAACATTAAAGAACTAAATCAGTGTGCCGGCAAAATGCAATTATTCATTTTATTCCTTAAAGACTCTGAAGCACGAACACCTTTTCCCTGTGTAAAAATGCAAAAAAGAAAAGGCGTGTAATAATTCTAATGCTGCGTAATTACTTTACAATGTTTTGATGACTTTGTGTTGGGAAATAACAATGTAGCGAAATTTGCAGACGGTTCAAGCTGATTTTCCTGTAGAATATATGTCGGCCTCACCGTTATGTTCCGACTTTTTCATGCAGAATATAGAACGCCGCTTTTTTAGGTTTAGGTAATGTATCATACAGTAGCCCAATATTAGCCAAATACTAATAATAATAATAATAACAGGCTAATAATAATTTACCATAAAAATAAAAACAAAATACAAATGTCTCCCCACTTTCACTTTTTTTGCTTTCACTCTGAAAGCAAGTCGCTTTAAATGCCTAAAACCTAAACAAAAACAATAATTTTTAGACGGACTCGGAGACGATTAAATGTTTGTATTTTTCTTACCTCCGCGCGCTGTCGGAGATGTCCAAACGCTACAGAATTCAAATCATGTCGCAGCCTATTCCACAAACGAAATTAAAAATTCGCCTTCAAAAACTATCAGCGAGAGCGCGAACTTTATAAATACAAGCACGATAAATGCCCAATATCTCAACAGGCTCCTTTATCGGGTCCAGCATCAGTAGTAACAGCAGTGAAAGCGCGAATAAGCGCGCGTCTCACACACTGGCTCTTATTGCCGGAGCGGGATGTGAGTGATTGGCGTGGCTCTGCCCCTCTGAAGAGCCAATGACGCTTCACTAGCTGCCACTCAAACACACTAAAGAGACGCTCCGACAGGAGCCGCAGGGCGATGCCGCGCCGCGCAGCGCGCCTGGGGTTCAACTCTGAATTAGGGGGAAAACACCCGAGAACCAGCCGTGTGCAATCAGTGTAATAGCCTGAGAAGAAGAGAAACTGCTTCATAAATAAATGGTGTTACTTAAAAACATTAGGCTATAACACGCCGAAAATATGTAGCCTATACTAAAACATTTTCCCACATTTAATAAAGATTAATCGCACGTTATTTTTATAGGTTTTATTAAAACCCGAAACTAACGAAACTAATAGTAAACCTAATTTATTATACTGATAGGATGATGTAAAATAATAGGTTTAATAAAAAATGCAATGTTTTTTGTCGATTTCTTTTTCCGAATATGACGTTTGCTGCTTTGAGCATCCAATCCCACTGTTTTTCAAAGTCGTAACAGTAGCTCGATCTAGTAACCATACATATTTTAAGTGTAAAGAGCAGTCAGGTAGCTTTTATTAATGCGTTAAAATTTCGTTATCAACATCTGCATCGCCACACACTGAAACTGTCCAAACTGTCCTGCCATATTGAGCCAATTTCCACGCGTTCATAAATCAAGCGAAAGGGGACAAATGTCGGCATGTCATTTTTTCCTCATTGTGAGGGCTGTAGGTACTGAATCGACCACAACTGAGAATAAAACGAATCACTTGATGCCGATGACACGTTGTCCGACAAACTGTCGCATCAATAACATTTCTATAATAGCAGTGCACTATTGATCCGAATTTGAAAAATTACTATTATGTTAAAAATGCCATCATATTTTTTTCTACAGTAGAAAAAAGTCTTCGCTACAAAGACTCTGCATGGTTTTTATTTTAAACGTCGGCATTACGAGTTATTATAAAGATGCTGATGACATTGCACGTAATTATAATAGGAATATTGGGCTTTATTGTGACGTTTTCATTTTGCCGTGATAATAGAATTAGTACAAAAGGTCAAGTGTTTTGAAAAGCAAAGTCCAATTGACAGGAAAGATAGGGTCCCATCTGCAGCCCCCTAAACCTCATTTAGATCCCATCCCGCTGGCTTTTGTCTCCAAATAGCCAAAGAGCACATCATACGACCCTTCATCCCATTACAGGAATATGAAAAAATATATATGATATACACACTTCAAATTAATTGGTAACACAGTAGAATAACGCTTAAATAAAATAACAGAAAAAAACATTACCTCACATAAGCTTCAATAATTGTAATATTAAAATGCCATACAACTTTGGTTGGTATTTTCACGTATATTCATATTTGAATTTATATCAGCTACATATGTATTGTATGTCTTATTAGCAGTGTCATATGCCCATAAAGTGAACAAACTGCTCTATTATACTAATTATAACACAGACCAGCTATTGAAAAGGTTTATGTTTATTAGACCGCTGATGATGATGACTATTCATGCTGAACAGTTAACATGCAGGCCTTAAATCATAGTTCATGTCTGCTTGATGCATTGAACTTCATCTGTTAACCCTACTGTGAAATTAATCATGCGTTTAAAAAATGACGTACGTGACCTGTCGGGGTCAATAGCTACAAGAATAGGACATTACACACCAAATCCATCATCTAACCAAATATACCTCAGGCAAACTGTAGTGTTTTACAAGCAAATGAAACGTCTTCACTTTCCAAAGCAGGTTTACTTAAAAGAATCCGTCTCTCTTTTCCTGGCTGTAAAGACTCCTCTCTGACCTATAATTGTCATGAACAGAAAGTCCCACAGTACACTGCGGTCTAAATAGGCCTAAGTACACTGTCCTACATTATAATCCTTATTCAATGCTGGAGGTCTATCAGGAAATTGCAAGACTAAATGCCGGTTCGTCTGTTAAGACTTATCAAGCAATACCATTTAAATACAATCTCATCAGACGTAAAGCATTCGTAGATGTTTCACCCTCGATTGTTTGGCCTTGATTGCAGACATGCATGAAATGCATGAAATTGTTACTTGCATATAGTTCGATATGCTGACTTCCAGTAGTCTATAATGGACACCGTATATATTATTGCTGTAAGGTAATCAGACTCCTTGCATGGTTTGATTGAACAGTGATACAGAAGACAGTATCAGACAGGTAAATAGGGCTAGAAGTCGATACAGTGTGGTGCCACCCACAGACTTTATGGAATTGTGAAATATGCATAATTTAATTCAATTTTAAAGGTGCAGTAATCAGTAAACAAGGAATTAGAGAATAATTCTGTTTATTTTAGACAGAGATGCAAATAAGTGTTTTAATTAATTGAAACATTCCTCAAATTTAACAATTAAAAATGAATATCTATGACTAAACAATAATTCTGTTCAAATAAGATATTTTGCGTCAGTGTATGTTGGTGCACATACCTTATCCAGAGCTCAGGAGAAATGTGTTTTCTAGCTGTTTTCAGCTCAGCTTCAGTCAATCCTGAAACAGTCAGAAACATATTTTAGCCTTGAACAGTCATAAATTACAGATTTTTTTGTGTCCTTCATGGCTCAGGAGAGCTTGATTGATAGCTTCACTGGTGTTCATGAAATTATAATAATCTTTTGTAACACTAGTAGTGACCTTACCCCATACAGTAATATTTACGAGAATATTTAGGATTATTTCTGGTTGAAATCAACGGCATGTGAAATTAAAAAGATGAACCACTTTATAACAGTTTTTTTTTTCTGTCTTAAGCTCCTCCCATTCATTGAATACTAAGGATGTAAGTAAAACATATGGGCCTAATTAAAAAAAAAAAAATTAAGAATATAACCTGAAAGTTTTGGTCTTAATAAGAATTTTTCGTTTTAAAAACTGATCCGACAAATATATGCACGACAAAACGAGACAGCTGCCTTTATATAAACCTGCTGATATTATTGTATAGCATAATAGTAGACAGTTGAACATCTGTCCACCACTAATTGTCTACTAAAATGTAGACATTAATTATGAATTACCGTAAAATTAAATGAATTAACTAATATTGAATTACTATGACGGGGATTGATCTGAAAAACTGAAAACGAATAAATCCGAGTAGAAACGGCCGAAATGTTTTGTGACAAGTTACGGAGGATGTTAAAACGTTTTTTTTAGAATGCAATTTGTTACAAAACGATAAACATTCTTGAACTTTCAGACGAACACGTGAGACGAAAAGTTCGGATCAAATCTTATGTTTTTATATGCTTTTTAAAACTATTTTAGAGATGAATTGGTCAAAGGTTTTCAAGCATGAATAAACACCCAGAAGACAGAAAATAGCATGCACATGAAATACTAACAGCTTTGAACATAATCCACAACTGATGTCGATCTTGTAGCCTACTTTTTTTTTTCATATAACGAACAGATAAGAAATTCAACGTAGGCTTATATAAAAGGCAAACGCAACTAGTCATTCAAGACATTACTTTATATTTGACACAACTTTAAGAAAGCATTCAGAAAGCTTCAGCTCTTACCTGACGCGCACCACGCGACAGCGGCGTGTCTCTCGCTGACGGCCGCGCTGACGCTCGCTCGAGGTGACGCGTCGCGCTTCTTGTCTTTTGTCAGATATTCCAGGTAAAAGCTTTAGCGATGCAGCTCTGTGCTGACAGTGAACTGATGCTGCTGTGCTCTACTGAATCACTCTGCGTCATGAAAGCACATATAAAGGCATCTGCTGTGCATTGCTCTCGTGCTCTGGAGACGAGCTTGAGAAATGTGCTCATCGCAGCCAGTGCTGATGAACTTCACATCCCAAACAATCTCGAAGAGGTGGGGCTCGTTACAGCATGAGAACATCATGTTTGATCTGTCCCGTCTGAAAGTATTTCGTTTTTACAGATTGGTGACTGAATCTCGGTAATCTGAAAATTCTTGCCCATCTCGATGCGATCTGAAAACTTTATTCCTTTGTCATGAAGAATATTAGAACATAGAAAACAAAGGCATTAATCGGGTTTGCACACTCTCGGGAATTATACACTCTAAAAAATGCTGGGTTAAATACAACCCAGTGCTGGGTAAAATAGGGACAAACCCAGCAATTGGGTTGTTTTGACCCAGCGGTTGGGTTAAATGTTTAACCCAACCTTCTGGGTAGTAACCCAACCGCTGGGTCAAAACAGCCCAATTGCTGGGTTTGTCCCTATTTTACCCAGCACTGGGTTGTTTTTAACCCAGCATTTTTTAGAGTGTACGTCTTTATGGAAAACTTTGAAATTGAGTTTGTCGCCATCCCGGAGTTAGTTGTCACACTTTCTGAGGTTTGAAAGTCAAGTTCTGTATAGACACAACTCTAAAATCTTGAGGAAAAATGACTGATCTTTTCTGTTGACATGCTCTGAAACACTGAGTACACTCTAAAAAATGCTGGGTTAAATATAACCCAGCGCTGGGTTAAAAAGGGACAAACCCAGCTATTAGGTTGTTTTGACCCAGCGGTTGGGTTCAAAACAACCCAATAGCTGTGTTTGTCCCTTTTTAACCCAGCAATGGTTTATATTTAACCCAGCATAAAGTGTGCAAACACGATTAATGCCTTTGTTTTCTATTTTCTAATATTCTTCATGATGGGTTATATTTAACCCAGCATTTTTTAGAGTGTAAGATGTCACACTGCGTTCTATCATTAAATGTCAAAAAAAAAAAAAAAAAACATGAATCATGCAAAAATCTAAAATGTAACTTAATTTATAACACAGAAAGGACGAATTCACCACAATGATTCTAGTTTACAGTTCAAAACGTAATGTCTAAAACCAACAGAGCACAACATCTTTTGGAGAAAAAGACACAAATACTTCCATAACATGTGAATGATAATTAAAGTTGAGTTCAGTCTGTTCAAACAGGTTAGCTGCTGGTCAGCTTCCTTTACTGGGTTATTAATTGGTGTCAGTTTGCTTAGCAAAGCAGAGTAAGATACACCAGTGACTGTAATTTACACTGTCTGGTGAGCCTGAGCTCCTGAATCCCACTGCATGCATAAAGATAAAGAATGTGCATTTGCTACATTTATGATGTATTTCTATAAACACTCTCAAAAGTTAAGGTTCTTTATTGGCATTTACGGTTCAGCAAAGAGCCTTTAACATCCATGGAAACTTTGCATTGCACAAAAGGTTCTGTATAGTGGAAAAATGTTCTTTAGATTATTAAAATATTCTTCACACTAAGAAAAAAAAAAGTTCCTTTAAGAACTGTGCACTGAAAGGTTCTTTGGGGAACCAAAAATGGTTCTTCTATGACATCACTGTGAAAACCTTCTTTTGGAAGAGTGTGATAATGAACCTTAAAATGGACTTTTGTTGGTATAATCCAGTGTTCAGAATGATTCATCCCTAATTAATTTTTTTATTATATTTTTTTGGATGCTACTACATGTTAAATATGTTTTAAGTTTAAAAGCTAAGCTTTTATATAGCCTAATGTATGCCTGAAATCAACAACATGGATTATTAGTTAAATTACAATAGAGACATTTACTGATAATGTTATAGATTAGTTATAATATTAGGGATGTTAATAGATTTCTATATAGATGGTATTGCTATAGATGTTATACAGCTTTAAACCATCTATAACATTATAACGGGTTAAAATTTGTAAATATGTAGAATGCTTTTCACCAATTCTGATCTATGAAAAATAGTTTAATTTACAGCAAAATAAAAAAAAAAGGTTACTAAACTAATAAAATATTCTTCAAGTGGCAACACGAATTACCTGATTTTTAATGAAGTAAAAAATATATATAATTTAACTGAATCGACTTAAATACTAAGGTGAAGTCAGCTTAGGGTAAAATGACTAGAGGTAACAACTGCATATAGTCAATCCTTACTACATATCTGAGTCCTTACTGTCATTACCTACTTCAGCATTCAGTTTAAATAATGATTATGATTATAATTCAACTTTTTAACTAATCAATTCAGTTTGATCAGTTAAATAAGTTTTTGTCCTGTAAATCCGTTTTATAACATATCCACAGTTGTCATTTCTAATTGAATAAATTGGCGATGGTATAACTGGCCTCATGTCACATGCAGTGCAGTCTTCTCATATATTTTATAGTTACAACAGAATTTCAACATTAGAATGAGACCTTTGAACTCAGAGCAACTGACATATCATCTAAATACATTCAAAGTATAATAATGTCAATGAACCAAACATATTGTGTGTTGAATTATATTGTGCGATTATCGTCACTGAGCACTGTTCGGACAGTGAGAGGATACAAATGTCATAAAAATGGCACAGGGTGAATCAGTTAAGCAAAACATCCTAACCTCCACTTCCTTAATTACTATGCCGGTTGAGAGCCAGGCCTTTTATTGCCTTCATCATTAGCTCTTTCCAGCAGTCTAGGACAGGCTTCCTTTAAGGAGCTCATTGACTCATTGATCAGCTGGCATCACTCTCGTCCGGCCTGAAGCATGTGAATGGGCCCGATCCCGGCCTGTCTCTCTCCGACTCGTTAAGTGCTCTTTTTCTCTTCCTCTCACCACTGACTTGTAAAGAGCTTTTAATGTGGCTATTAGTGGAAGTGAACAGGAAGCGTGTTGAAAACACGGCCCTTCATTATATAGGATGTTTAATCTGTTGCTTAATCACCATTGTTTGGGCAAAGCAAGTTTGGCGTTAGTTGAGTAATCTGAGCAAAGATGAGGCTGAGGAGACAGAACAGCCAGGAATTGGTTGGTTCTTTCATGAATTAGCATACTGACATAGTATCATTTGACTGGATGTCATTTGATCATGAGTTCTTTTTTCTTTTTTCTTTAAACTGCAGCACTTTAATGGATGCAAACTCAGTCAAGACTTAGTCTATATGTCTATATGTATAATACCATTCAAAAGATGCTTTTGACAGAAATGATCGCTTTTAATTAGCATATTAGAGTCAGCATATTATAAAATCTGAAAATGTCGTAGAATCACATAAATAAATTTTATTTATTTAATTAAAAATTGTAATAATATTTCACTTTTTTTTTTTTTTACAGTATTTTTGATCAAATAAAAGCAGCTTTGGCGAGTATAA